CTCAGCACCACATACCAACAAAGATGTTGTGTCTGCTGAGAACTAAAAAATAAATATTAAAAATTCTCTCTCTCTCTCTCTCCTCTCTCACTCTCTCTTAAAAAAAAAAAAACAGCGTTTCTCTGAATTGTGAGCCTTTCTAGCAAATATGTGAACTTGTAGTCATGGAAACCTCCAATTTATAATTTCTGGTAAATCAGAAATAGCAGAGGCCCAGACTTGTGCTGGGCAGCTATATTGGGGTAGTCTTGTGGGAATGAGCCTTTTATTTGTGGGATCTGACACTAATTTCAGGTGGACAGATTAAGAATTTAGTTAAACAGTAGGACACCTACATGGTATTGGGAGAGTTGGAGAAATGCCTGGTTTATCAGAAGTGCTATGTGAGAGTGCAGAGAAACAGGATGGTTTCCCCAGTGTTCTTCAAGTTACCTCCCTGATTTACTGACTCCTTCATTTATTCCATTTTATAGTCACTTTGAGAAACTGCCTTCTGTTCTCCTGGGGGTATTCAGAGCCTACAGGAGATTTAAGATACAAGATGTCATACCCATTACAGGCAGCTTTGCAGCCTTCTTCAAATTCCTCATGCCGCAGAACCTGGTAAGGGAATTAAAATAAATTGTAAGGTTTTACTAGTACTGCACATAGTATATTTAGCACAAACTAAAAGGTCAAAACACAGACATTACCATTTGTAAACTTTATTTGTTAAAAAAAAAAAAGGAAAGGAAAGGACGGAGAGAAGAAGAGAAGGAAAAAGGAAGAAAAAGAAGAAAGGAAGGAAGGAAAAAAAAGCTTTATACCTTTCCCAAGCTAGAAGAGGTAAGGGAGAGCAGCTTGACACTAAGCTGCGAGCAAGCCAAGTTCTACCTAGTAAAATTCTACCTAGATTGGGAAGCAGTGCTGAGAGGGAAAAAGTGTGGTTTTTCAGCATCAGAAAAATGTGATTTGCAATTCTGGTTCTCATCTAGCAGTGTGTAATTCTGAGCAAGCTGCTTAGGCTTGGAGTCTGTTTCCTCATGTTTTAGTGAAAATGGGTAACTTGTTAAAGCATCTACCATAGAACCTAATATGCATTAGATTCTCAATGTCTTAATTTCTGTCCCTCACTTTTTTTTTTTTTTTTTTGTACCAAAAACTGAAAAGACACTTTACTATTCAGCTACATTCCCTGATTAAATTTTGAGACAGGGTCTGGCTAAGTTGCTGAGGTTGGCCTTGAAATTGAAATCCTCCTGCCTCAGCTTCCAAAGTCCCTGGGATTTCAAACATGTACTACCATGCCCAGCACTGTTTTCCTTTTTGATTCCATGCCTACTGTTTTAGTTGAAGCTCCCATCATTTCTCTCAAAGACTACTATTAGGCTGGGCACAGCGATACACATCTGTAATCCCAGGAACTCAGGAGGATTCCAAGTTTGAGGTCAGCCTCAGCAATTTAATGAGATTCTCTCAAAATGAAATGGGCTGGGGACATATCTCAGTAGGAAAGTGCCCCTGGGTTCAATCCCCAGAATCAAAGCAAAACAAAACACAGAACAAAACAAAACTCTACTATAATCTTCTTCCTTTATACCACCATAAAAGTGTATCACTAAAGAACACTTCTGCTGGGTGCAGTACACGCCTGTAATCCCAGCAGCTCAGGAGGCTGAGGCAGAAGGATCTTGAGTTTAAAGCCAGCCTCAGCAGTTTAGCGAAGCCCTGAGCAACTCAGTGAGACTCTGTCTCTAAATAAAATACAAAAAGGGCTAGAGATGTGGCTCAGTGGTTAAGTGTCCCTGGGCTCAATCCCCAGTACAAACTACAAATCATTTCTGATTACATCACTACCTTATTTAAAAAAAAAAAATTGGGGGCTGGGGTTGTGGCTCAGTGCTCTTAGCACGTGTGAGGCCCTGGGTTTGATCCTCAGCACCACATATAAATAAACATTAAAAAAAAATTGATCTCCCTATTTACTGCAGCATCAAATCCAAATTCTCAAGCCCAGTATTCAATACACTATCAGAAGCAATCCCAATCTATTTGCCTTGAATCCCATCTCTTCAACTTCAAGTAGTTAAAGGCACATAAATAGTGGTGTTTCCAAACATATCTTTGCATCATCTACTCAGTTCTTCTAGTATAACTCACTCCTTCCTCTGATTTTGATTCTTGGAAATACTATTTCTATATTCTATAAGTCAACTTGAATGTATAGTCTTCATGTATTATTTCTTGATGACTCAGGTTAGAAAACCTTGCCTTTTTAATTTTTCTAATACTTCTAGAACATACATATCTAAGGGTCAAATACCTTCTAGATTTTAAAAAAAAATTTACTTAGTTGTAGATGAACACATAGTATCTTTATTTTTTATATGGTGCTGAGGATGGAACTCAGTGCTTCACACGTGAGGCACGTGCTTTACCACTGAGCTACAGCCCCAGCCCCTCAAATACTTTTTTTTTTTTTTTGGTGGTGGTGCTGAGGATTGAACCCAGGACCTTGTGCATGCAAGGCAGGTACTCTACCAACTGAGCTATAATCCCAGCCCTCAAATACCTTCTAAATAACATGTTTAATCTTCACAACAGCCCTTTAATCAATGAGGGAAAACAGTAAATAGAGCTTTGTGGTTTTCTGCTATCATTTACTAAGACATTAATTCTGACTTCTACTACTGTTAGCTAGGTACAAATTCAATCCCCATCTCCACCTCACCTCTGACCATGAGCTCTAGTTGTGGCTAGATATCAAAATCTTTTGCAAGTCTGTCACCAAAACTCAACACAGTACCCTGAAAAAATATTTCACTGTACTAAACCTCAATCCTTTTTTGAGACAAGGTCTCACTAAATTGCTCAGGCTGGCCTTGAACTTGTGATCCTTCTGTCTCAGCCTCCTGAGTAGCTGGGATTACAGGCCTGCACCATCCTGCTGGCACTGCATATATTTTTTTAAACCACTGATGTACTCAGGTAACTCCCTTTGCACTCCGCATCTTCTGTACTGTTTCTACACAAAACCACTCTTGGCTCTAACAATGCCTTCAACACTGGTGTGTACTCTCCTTCCCTGACTTACTAGGAGTTCCCTAAAAACCTCCTTCCATGTTCTCAGGTGAGCGACCCCTGAAGAATCACAGCTTCTCAGAGCTGGAGACATGCAATTTGGAGGCAGTGGGGAAGAGAATGGATTCTGACCTCATACTTAGGCCTGGACTGTTGAAAGGAGAGTCAACGATTTATCCAGAGAGATGAGAGATATCAAGAGAAACCATACAAACTAGCCCTGACCAAAGCAAAACTCTGAATATGCTGATTATCTACCCAGAAAGGCTCCAATACCAGAAGAGACTGCGTTATTGCTCATTGGAAGAATATTATGTAAGTTTTTGGTTGCTTATTATCCTTCACAGTACATTGGAAGCTCCCCAAGGCAGACGCTCAAAAATATTTGTGTATGTAAGTGAAAACACGTGCGCATAGCTAGCATGTCGATCCTTTTTTGTAACGCCCACCGCGGTGGCCCACGCCTGTAATCCCTCCGGAGGCTGTAGCAGGAGGATCCCAAATTCGAGGCAGTCGGGGCTATTTGGCGAGACACTGCCTCAACTAAAATTAAAAAAATTAAAATTATTTTTAAAAAAAAGTTTGGCCATGTAGCACAAATGGTAACGCGCTTGTAGAGCATTGCGAAGCCCTGGGCTCGGCCTCCAAAAAAAAGAAAACACAAAACAGTACCTAACCCGTAACCGGGGACTCAGCGCTTCCAGAAGCTGAATACCCCTCAGGGCTAATGGGAAAATCCGGGGCCCAAGGTCCGACGCCCGGGTTTGAGGTTCACCACACACCCTTTACCCCCTCCTCCGCCAGGCACTTCCAGCCTCGCGCGCCAGCCCCTGTCGGCCCCAGCCTGCACCTTCATCCCCAGGACATCTCGAAAGAAATGCGTCGTCTGGAAGCGGTTTCCCACTTTGAAAACGAAGTGCAGAGCTCGACGACCAGCCATGACTCCCAATGGCACACCGCCGGCACTCAGACAGCGACGCCCCACCCACAGACGGCGCCCAGGGCGGGTGACGTCATTGGTGATGGACGGCGCGCTTTCCTGACGTGACCCGCGGTACGGGAAAGATGGCGCTGCTTGTGAAGAACGTGTGTTCTTCTGTGCGACCGTGGCTGCCAGTGGCCCAGACTTGGGATCTCAACGCGCGGCGCTGGGTCCGGGCATTGCGGCGGAGCCCCTTGAAAGTGGTGTTTCCATCCGGAGAGGTGGTGGAGCGGAAGCGCTCCCCTCGGAAGCAGCCCCGCGAGGCGGCGTCTGAGGCGCATGCCCAGGGGCAGCGACCGAAACAGCCGCTTCAGATGTCCCCATCCCATTCGCCGAGTACCTGGGAAGAGGCAGGACTTCGCTACGATAAAGCTTTTCCTGGGGACAGGAGGCTGAGGTGATGTGTTTCTGTCACGTGTCTACCCCGGTGGGTTTTTTTTTTTTTTTTTTTTTTTTTTTTGCTGCACAGTGGAATCAACCTCCTCGTCCCGGAGGAGTTCTTCCAGAACAACCCTTTGGTTTTATTATTTTTATTTTTGCATTATGCAGAATAAGTGTCTCCTTTGGAATTCGTTTTTGCCTCTGCGAAGCTCTTTATGTCTGTTAGAAATTAGGTGTGTCTCAGTATAAGAATGTTGGTCATCAGCCATCTTTTTGTTTCTACTTACAGCAGTGTAATGACAATAGTTAAGTCCAGGCCGTTTCGGGACAAACAAGGGAAGATACTACTGGAAGGTCGCAGGCTGATTGCAGATGCTCTGAAGGCTGGAGCTGTGCCAAAAGTTTTCTTCTTTAGCCGCCTGGAATACATAAAGGAGTTGCCAGTTGATAAGTTGAAAGGTGTAAGCCTCATTAAGGTGAAATTTGAGGATATCAAGGATTGGTCCGACCTAGTAGCACCACAAGGAATAATTGGTCAGTGGTTACACAATGTGTCACTAGGTGTGAATTTCTTGTTCATATTTGTCTTAGGGCAGCAGATTTTATTTAAATCAAATTTAAAATGTTACTATCTAATCTCTTCTTGGAGGCTTTGTACCTGTGATGCCTTTGCAAAGAATTCTAAATTTTTCATTGTATTATCTTTCAGGGAAGTAACTCATTTATTGGAACAAGATGCTTATGATATTTTAAAAACTGTAAAAACTGTACAGTCCTTTGGGAGCATGCTTACAAAGAAAATTGAATCTTTATTTGATATTAGTTTATATATAAAGAGCTTAGAAGTTTTGTTTGTTTTGGGGACTGGGAATTGAGCCCAGAGGAACTTTACCACTGAGCTTCATCTGAAGCCCTTTTTATTTTTTTTATTTTGAGACAGGGTCTCCCTTGTTAAGGTGCAGAGGTTACCAAGGTTGGTCTTGAATTTGTGATCTTCCTGCCTTAATCTCTTCAGTAGCTGGGATAACAGGTGTTGCACCACTGCACCCTGCTAGGATTTTTGTTTTTCCAGGTATAAACAGGTGTTTTATGTGCTTCAAATGTGAACAAACTAGAATAGGCTGTGGGGAGGACAGTTTGGTATCACTTGTTAACAGTAAGAGTGTATTTATACCAGTTGTCCTTTTCACTTATGGGTGTTTATTTTCAGACACATACACACAGAGTCATACAGGGACATTCATTATAGCATTGTTTGTAAATAAGGAAAATTTGAAATAATTTAACTGTCATTGGAAGAGCTAAATGAGCTGTTGTATATCCTTATTACAAAATAACATGCAAGCCAGGCATGGTGGCACATGCCTATAATCCCAGGGGGAGGCTGAGGCACGAGGATTGTGAGTTCAAAGCCAGTCTCAGCAATGGTGAGGGGCTAAGCAGCTCAGTGAGACCCTGTCTCTAAATAAAATACAAAATAGGGCTGGGATGTGGCTTAGTGGTCGAGTGCCCCTGATTTCAATCCCTGGTACCAAAAAAAAAAAGTAAAAAATAAAAAAATAACATGCAAGACAAGAATAAGGTAGCTTTAAATATACATGGTCATTTCTTTAAGACAATGTTATTGAGTGAAATAAGTTAATTGCAGAATAATACATTGAGAGTTTTTATATGTTGATTAAAAGCACCTATATATGGACAGATGTCCCTGTATTTAGGTAGATGCATAATGTTTTGAAAGCATACACTACAAGATTGAAAACAGATGGGGCAGCCAGGGGATCAGCACTGGTAGAATTTTATGTTGTTGGAATTTTTTTAGTCAGAATGTATTCACATATTTCCTATGTCTTTAAAAAGACATAAAGAAAAAGTAAATGGAAAATCAAATTATTTCCCACATCAAATAAGTGAACGTCCATGTTGTTTCCTCAGGGATTTTTGCCAAACCTGACCATGTCAAAATGACATATCCAGAGACTCAGCTTCAGCATTTCCTGCCCTTATTTTTGATTTGTGACAATCTCCGTGACCCTGGGAACCTGGGGACAATTCTGAGATCTGCTGCTGGGGCAGGCTGCAGCAAAGTATTACTAACTAAAGGTAAGAGCACCTGTTACTAGGTAGCTTGCTTGGTTGGGACTCTGGGCAGACATGCATAGGTCTGAATCTTGGATCTGCACCTTACTAGATGTGTGTCCATGAGCAATAATGCTAAGTGTCAGTTCCCTCATCTCTGAAGTGAGAATAGTAACAGAATCTTACTCATAGGGTTGTTCTGAGGAGTACTTGAGATGATACAAATAAAGTACTTCGCTCCATGCCTGGAGTCATGTAAAATAAGTCAGTAAATGTTGATTTTCTTTTAAAGTTATTTGAAACCTGTTAGGTTATTAAAGAAAAAAATTTTAATCAGGGCAAAAAATTTTAACATTTGGTTTCAGGTCTTGTATTTAATGATTTTGAGTGGGTATAAATTAAATTAAATTTTGAATTCTGTGAAAAGAATGAGTCAATGGTGTGATTATGCCTTTGTAATACATTTCCCGTAGCCTCAGGTGGGTCACACAGTCCGTCCACATGCTAATTAACCAGAAATGGGGATTATTAGGTTTGGTTCTAAACAGACCTGCCAAACTCATGGGATGTGCCCAAAAGACCTGTTCCACCTTGGGAGCGGAGGAGAGGGAAAGCATCATTCATCAGAAACACTCAAGCTACCATTAAATACACTAATAATGGCAGCCATTGCTGAGACTTGCCTAAATTGCTTGTTCCAACTCTTCCCAGTCACATCCTGTTGGAGTATATTTCTCTGCTGGTGTGAGAGCTAGGTGCTGCGATTCCTTTATGAGTAGCCACCAGTGGGTGTTGAGCGCTGTGATAGGAGAGATGGTTTTGGAAATGTGTTTATATAATCCAAGCAGTGTGGTTTTTCATATCGATAGTGGTGGCTGGTCTGAAAGAGGTAGGGAAAGAAAGAGTAGGAAATACTTGGTGTGGTGCCCAGTGTCAAGGACATGAGGAGAAGGGGGAAAGTCTCACCTTTTCCTTACTCCCCGCTAGGTGAGGGGGTCAGACTAGATAGCTCCTCACAGGTGTGAGCCCATTCTCTAGACCCTTTCCCTCACCTCTTCGCCTGTAGCCCAGCTCCCATCTCTGGTCCTTGCCATGCATGAGAAAGCCCATAGGTGGGGGTATGTGTGGGCACTCTCATGTTCTCAGTTTCTTTTATAGTCCTTCTAAAATGCTGTCTGCCTAGTTAATCTGTCCTAAATCTGACAAACTGACTTTTAAAATAACTTCTCATGAGGAGACTTGTGCTAACAAGTTAGGGTAGCAATATGTGTGATATAGTCATGAGGAGGTGCCCTGGTTGTGCCATCTATTCCCCCTTGCCTGTGATGAGTAGACACTGGGAAAGATCAAATATCTGCTGTGCATGGGAGTGGTTGGGCCTAGCACTTGACTATATGTAGAAGAGTAGGTTTGCTATGACAGAAGAGATGTGAGTGACAGAACTGCCACCTGGGTTCAGGTTCATTTCCCCCTGAATTGCTGCACCAACCTCCTACCTAATTTCCTTATCTCTAGTGTGGGAAATCTGTTCCAATCCAAATTGAACATTGAAGTCAAATGAGTCTGTCTGAACCATAAATCAGGTTCTGTCACTGTTTTGCTGAAAATCCTTCAGTACCTCATACTGTCTTCTGAAAAAAATCCAAACTCTTCAGTTTCACATCCTTGGCCTTCTATACAGTGGCCACTGCCTGCCTCCTCTCTCTTCTCCCACCCTCCACCCCCACCATCAACTCCAGTTCTTAGACATTCTCCCCTTCTCTGACTTTGTTCTCTACCTGGGCCTTTCTCTTACAACATCCTCTTATCCTTCAAGACCCAGCTCAGTGTCATGGTCTCTTAGACATTTGGTGTTTTTCCTGAAAGACTGCTTTATATCAGGGTTTTCTCTGATCCTGTTTATGCTTCTTTTACATTGTCATTAATATTCTAATTACCTGATTAGATATTGTCCCAGCACCACCAACCACTGTACCCTGAATTCCTGGATATTGGGTGTTTTAATTCCGTTTGCATCCCCTGGTCAGTGCCTGTATGTATGAACAATGTCAAAGGGATGCATAGAATCCCTCTTCAGCACTAGCAGGGATTAATCCTGCAGTCCCTTTGCTGAACACTGCCGTCACTGGGAAGGCTCTGGAAGGTACCAACTACCAAGAAGGCTCCACTGGGAAACACTTTTGCTTTATTTTCTGGTCCAGAATTAATCTGATTTACTCCAGAACTCCCACTCTGAGACTTATGAAATCTTGATTAAATCTTCTTTTTTGTTTTCTAGGCTGTGTGGATGCCTGGGAACCCAAAGTGCTACGGGCAGGCATGGGGGCACATTTTCAGGTGCCTATTATCAATAATCTGGAATGGGAAACAGTACCCAACTACTTGCCCCCTGACACCCGGGTCCATGTAGCAGACAACTGTGGCCTCTATGCTCAGGCCCAGATGTCTACTAAAGCCAGTGATCATGGCGGGGTGTGTGATCGACGATTTCTGAAATTTCACAAGTTCCAGGAAGAGGATATAGAAACTGGAGACAGTAAAGACTGGCTCCCTGAAATTGAGGTTCAGAGTTACGACTTGGACTGGACAGAGGCACCAGCAGCTGTGGTGATAGGTGGGGAGACCCATGGCGTGAGCCTGGAGTCCCTGCAGTTGGCTGAGAGCACTGGGGGCAAGAGGCTGCTGATTCCTGTTGTGCCTGGTGTGGACAGCCTGAACTCGGCCATGGCTGCAAGCATCCTGCTTTTTGAAGGAAAAAGACAGCTAAGGTTAAGGGTGGAACACTTGAACAGGGACAGGAGCTACCACTGAAAAAGGGGGCCGAAGTTGTGTTTGAGGATGTCTCCAGCTCCTGCAACCCCAGCATACTGGACGGAGGCTGGCAGAGTTGGTTAACTGGCTTCCTGGCCATATTCAGGAGGCAAGAGGTAGGCATTGCTGCCATCATACAGCGTCGGAAAAATAGGAATTTCTACAAGTTTCTGCTTTTCCTCATAAATAAAAAGGTTAAAATTCTTCCTGAGATCTCCCGTCTCTCTATGAACTTTGAGGGTGGGTGTGTGTGTGTGTGGTAATTAATTACATGGCTCTGGATATACATAATTTAATTGTGTACTGTGGCTGGGGTGTAGCTCAGTGGTAGTGCTTCCCTGACACGTGTGAAACCCTGGGTTCCATCTCCAGCATGGGGGTGGGGGGCCAGGAGACTACTAAGAAGCATTTTTTTTTTTTTCCCAGAAAGTTCCCAAAGACTGATTGGTATTTTACAGTCATCAAGTATTGGTTATGGGTCATGGTTAAGCCACCTCTGCCTGATAATTGGTCAGTGGAAAATAAACCTAGAACCAGCATTTAAGTGTGGTCAGTGGGTCTCAGTGTCTCTTCATTTTTGGCCTGCTGAGGAGGGCATTGCTAAGAGGAATAACCCAAGAAGCTAATGGCTGTGAGTCATGGAGCAATAGCTAGCTGTTGAAGCTTGGATATGTCCACCCCTGGGGTCTGTGTAGACCTCACTTCAATAGCCACTGTTATGTATAACCCACCCACCTTATGCCAATCTTTAGAAATAGCTTGATTCATCAGGTGTTATCATCTTCTTAGCACCTTTGCAAATGTTTTTTGAGGACTCTGCAGAACAGGAAGAAATTGACAAAATTTGCAGCTTAACCCTGCAGCAGTGGGGAAAGCGTCACCCTTTTTACTACTTTCCAGTTGTTAATCCTATTTTATGTAAAGTTGTTTAAATGTAATAATGTACTAATACACCCTTCCCCCTACACAGAATGACAGAACTGCTCAGGAACGTGCCAGCACGCCTGGGTGCTGTGTGAACACAGGAAGGGTGGGTAGCTGAGGTTCTGAGAGCTTGGAGCCCTGGGAACTACGGCTTTGCTGCAGGACCCCCTGCAATTCTCTTAAACCCCCAGGGGACCAGGACAAGTTACATCCTTACTTACCAGGTGCCATCCAGGATACAGCCAGGGAGGTGAGGGCAGATGCAGATGGTAATCACCATATCTAATGACTGCCTGTGAACTAGTGTTAGGACTCAATCCAGACATCACTTTTACAACTATAAATATAGGGTTGGAGTTGAGGACAACAGTAGGAGTGTAATTGAACTATATATATACCCTTTGGTACAGTGGTTCTTGTAATGATTTGGACTCCTTAGCTGCTCATTCCAGAGAGGTGGAGTGGGTTGCCAGCATGCTCAAGAGATACCATGGACCCCCTTTCCTTCCCTTTCTGCTTTTCCAGCTCCCTAGTAAAAACTTCCTCCTGGGAGAACTAAATGTGGGTGTGGGTATGTGCTGAGTGATATTGGAAATCAACTTTCACTTGGCAGGTGGTATTGCTTTGGTATATTGGGAAAGGGGTGTTTGCAGTTTGATTGGCTGTGTCTTCCTCATCAGCATCTTTGAAAAGTGCTAGAGAAAAAGAAGTCATACACTTGTGTCTTTCCCACCTGAAGCCAACTTCTTGTAATTTGTGTCCGTAGATGGTGTTCTTGCTGGGTTTTGTTCAAAATTAAAATCAATGAAAGAACAAACTACATCCTTGAGAAAAAACAGCAATGCAAAACACTGGCAAATAACTCTTTAGCCCAGTTTTCATCCTGACTGTAAGGGGGGGAAAGGAGTTGGTGTGCCTTTGACGTGATAGTCTGTGGCTTCTCCACAATGTCTGTGAGTTCTTTTTGTACATTCATAGGTATAACCACCCTGGCTGCTGGTGAGAAGGGGAGGGGTGGAAGGCACGCTGTCCTTTCTCTTAAATGACTGCAGGAGAGCAAATGGTGGTTAAGTTCTTATCTGCTGAGTGATACTGGAAAACAACTTTCATGAATTTTCGAATTTGAGGCCAATGTTTGTTCGGTCACCATCTTTGCAGTGAATAGGAATAAACTGAACAATATATGACAAGAAAAACACTGGCTGAAAGGTAAACCTTGTGGGATGCTGGCCAGGCTCCTTGCCTTTGTCCCGAGGCACAGCTGCAGCAGTGGTTTCTGCCACGAGGTGGCGGGCTGCACTTCAGAACCAACCCTAAAGCTGGAGGGAGGGGTCATGATCTTTCTCAGATTTAAGTTGCTTAAAAGGAGAAGGATAGAGTCAAGTATCCCTCTACCAAAGAGTAATTGCAAGCTCACAGTTGTCAAAGACCCATCCAGACTGGCTCATGTAATTTTAGTAGAAGCAAGAATCTGAAATTCAGGAGGACACTGGACCAAAAACTCTAAACTAAGTGGACAGAAATGGGAACTAACAAAACTGCTACAGCTTTTCGCTGTAACAGCTTCTGAGAGAGCAGCTCTGTGCAGAGGCCAATGTCCCAATGGGCCCAAGTCTTACTGTGGGAGTGCACTTGGCCCTTCAGTTAGTGCTACACAGCAGGGAGCACAGAAACCATTCTCCCCTGCCCCACCCTGGCTGCTGGCTTCTGGTTAGGATACTGTTCATTAATGAACAGTATGGAGCTTCCAACACTTGTCCCAGGGTTCACCATCCAAGCTGAGCTGCATTTAGATCCACTTTTGTGATTCCTCCATGCAAAGACCCCAGAAACAACACCCATCCAAGGTTCTCTGGATAGTGCTGAAAACCACCAGCTGTACTGCAGAGCTTGGGGCTCCCCTCTTGGTCCCTGCCACTCCCTCAGGAGCAGACTTCACTTGAGCTCACTTTTGTTTTCTCGAGGAAGCACTCATTGTCACTTAAATTCTGAGATCTTATTCCTTCGATTTCCCCATGAGATTGCACAAATAAACGAGAAGCAAAATTAATGGATGAACTAAGTCTCTTTAACTAAGGAACCATGTCACATCTGAGCAGCTGAGATGGCAGCTGTAAGCCAAGTCCTTCCTGGGAGTCTTAGGAAGCATTGTTGACGCTCAATGGCCAAGCATGATGGAGGCTCCCAATGTGATATGATTGGAATCAGTTCTGTTCTTCCTACTCTCAAAAATCCCTAATTGTGTAAGAAGAGCTCCTTTTCTCAGATGAATTCTCAACCGATGCCAAAGGTGCTGCTTTCTCAAAATGCAAGGGAACACAGATTGAGGAAGAGGTGGGAAAATGACTGCTGCAGGGTCCAACCTCAGCCTCCCTTGTATCCCTGGAATGAAGGAAGCATGTGCTGACTGCGAGCCTGCAGAGTGGCTCTTGGTAGACTGGGGACTCTCGGGTCCTCTGATGTCCAAAGATCAATTTGGGGGAAACTTGGCTCCTAAGACCATGTCTCTTATGGTTTTCCCATTCCAGTTCATGTGGGTGACTTATTTGTATAAAGCATGAGCACCCAAGAATCTAGACCTGAGGCTACTCTGCCTGGCTTGGGCTGTATATTGGCCTATAGAGATGGAGGCTTTCAAGAGTCTGCACATTATTTTAATGGAAATCCAAATGTCCCTCCGAATGAGTTCCACCCACCCCTACTAACACATTTCCTGGTTAAGGAAGTGTTCTAAAACACCAATGGGGTGAGTCACACATAAGCCTTGAAAAATGGGGCATATTTACTTCATCCTTTTGCATATAAGGTACCTAGAACTTCTTTGTCATATATCCCCCAGTAGAAGAAACCCCGTCATAAAGCAGAACTCAATATAAAATTTTACATATAGCCTTTTGTTTTCTGGAAACACAAGCTCACACCACACATGCTGAGGCCAGTGACACTAATAACAAAGCTCCCGTCCACAGCTATTTGCTTCCCACCCTCCCCCAATTTTCCCTTCAGCAACCTACTTGAAGGAAAGGACACATTCTTGTCACTCTCTTGTCCCTGTTGGCATTGGGAAGAGGGATGTTGGCGAGGTGACTACTTCAGCACAACTGTTTTGGGGCAGCCTTGAAAGTCTGCCTAGGCTTGGGGTCCCCAGGTCAGTTCCTAGTTCCCAAGGCAGTCTTTACATAGGAACTTCTGGGGGAACTCCTGAATCTCTGTAGCCTGTGAGCATCCCTACCCCAAGATCTATAAAACAGTTGCACTCTCAAACTATCCTGCAAGCACGGGCCTGCCCAGGCTGGCCAGAGAAATAGCATTGTGTACAGAATGTGTGTCCTTCCCTAGTGACTGGGTAGGGCAGGACCTCATGCTCACTGAGGTTCCTCCCAATACTATAATTTCTTGTGTGCAGCATTTCTGCCCGTGACCTCACATGTCCATGGTTTTCTTTCTAGCTAAATAGTACAACACCACATAGTACTGCCAGCCTGTCCCCAGGCCACATCCTGCTGTCTCATTGCTGAATTCAGTTTGCTGCCCTGCAGAAGGGCAGGAGGAGTGGGGAACAGCTTTTTAGTGTCTTTAATTAGGCAATAGAGAAAAACAAAGTCTGGCTGAAAATTACCACTTGAAGCTTGTCCGATGCCAAGAAAATAACACTGGCTCCCGAAGCCGGGATAAATGTTAGCCATTGATTTCAAGGACACGTGTGTGTGTGTGTGTGTGTGTGTGTGTGTGTGTGTGTGTGTGTTGGGGGTGTGGGGGGGGTTAGTAGCACAATACCACCTGACTCCTGAAAAGGAAGCTGGTTTCCTCTGCCCAGTGTACATACCAATCCCAATACACCCCATTTCCTTAAACAGATCTTTAATGTGGGAAGACAGTTAAAAAAAAAAAAATCTCATCTCTATTGTGAGAATGGCAACTGGAGGTCATTGTTGTGAACACAAATCTGGGAACTCCAGGGTGGCATTTCTATAGCCACCTTCCTGTCTCAACCGGCAGGACATGGTTCTCCTTGCATATGTCACAGCTGGGGTTTTTGACCTGCTTCCAATTAGCAATGAGACTTGTAAGGTATCATGGAGCTGCTTGGTGAGAATTATCCCGCTGCCATTTGTCTGCATCAATGACCTTTAGGATCTCCTGCACCATGGAGAAGGGAATTTTTCATTGGCACGGTGAAGTGAGTCTTCCCTAACATTTTCCTCCAACGTAGCCATGGTATAGACCTAAACCTTTTTAATAAACCTTCCCACTGAGCTTAACTAAACTACACATCTGCTCTAAAAGGGGAATTCTGGTGACAGGGATCTGGCTGACATTAGTAGTTGGTACTTCAGAAAAGTCAGCCCAATACAGGCCACTAAAGTAACACAGATGACCAATTTTTCTGTTGTAATGGACTCTGTTCCTTCTGTCCTCACAAAAAAAGCAGCTGCAAAGAGGGCCTCCTTTCCTCCAAGGCAGTCATGACCTAGGGCAGGGACACAAATTCTATACATCTTCCAAGGGAGAGCCTAATCTTGTACCCTCATCTGCCTCACCCTCTAAGGGACAATGGTAGAATTTCTAGAGAAGCCTCTAGCCTTAGGACAGAGCTAGACTTGGGCAGCCCCAACTCTTACCCTATTCTTCACAGGGAGACCCTTGCAGGAGTCCTTGTGTTTTCCTAACCAGCAATCTCAAGAGGGAAAGAGCAGGGAATGTCCATAACAATGTCTATAATCTAGGGATTCACCTTGGAGCAAGTACCAAGCCAAAGGGATAGTGACCCGAGCTCCTGGAGGCATCTGTCTCTGGTACTCTAATCAAAATCAGCTTCCTGGTTTCTGGAAACCAAGATGATTTGACAGATGGCCATCTTCTTGGGATTTTTCTTATCCCCCTCAGTACCGGGGATCAAACCCAGGGCCTTCTTGCACATGCTAGTCAAGTCCTCTACCACTGACCTCTTGGGATTTTAGAAAATTCTGGAACATGGCTACTAAAGGTTCTCTATGCCTTTCCTTCCACTGCCCACCCTCTAATAGCACTCAAGTGAAAAATATTTTTGTTATTAAGAACAGGGAAGGCCACTAGATGGTAATGTCCAGAGATGCCTGCTTTATTTCTTACTAGGTGATTGCGTTTCAGGCTGGCAACATCAAATAGTCTAATCACCAACTAATTTTGTACTTCTGAACTACAAATAAACAATCCAATTTAGCAAGGAACACTGTCAACAGCTTATGGGTGGGTTGTGGGGTTTTCCAAATAAATTGTTTTGGTTGGCAGATGGCAGAGTTGAGTCAAGGGTAAGGCCTTGGACTGTTTAAAGGCTCTGACACCTGACTGAGATAGGCTAAACCCCTGTGAATCCCTGGGCCAAAGTCTCTCACCCCAAATGTTTCCCCTTTTGTGGCCAGTTCCACTCAAACAAAAGGGCAAGTTACCTAGTCTTAGCAAAGGGTACCCATGGCCTACTTTTAGTTGACACGCCCTCTGTCCTCCCTCCTGCCTGAGAACACAGCTTCTTCTGAAGGTTCTTAAAGACAAGCTAGATTTCTAGTAAATTCTTGCTTTTCAGTTCTGCTTTGAAAAGAAAAGGGAGTGACAGGAAAAGGATGCAGATGCCTCAGCAAAGATCCAGTGGCCTCAGGCACAGAGCTGGGCCAGAGATCTGTGCAGCTGAGCATGGCTCCTCTAAGAACTCAGGGCCAAGTTTCTTGGAAAGATATCAAGGAGAAAAATTCAAGAACAAAATTCCGAGAAAGTAGAAGCTGTCTGTATGAGCAGGCAAAAACATGGAGAAGGTCAAGACCAAGGAAGAAAGAGATAAAAGGAAGGAATGCAAAACTCTAATCATATGGTAGGAGCTCAATAAAACTAAGCAATTATATGAATCATTATCTTAGCTACTTGTTTTCTCACCAAAAAAACCCCACACGCTTCGTTTCAGATTTGGGAGTCCCCTGCCCAAGAACCCACTGATAAGCTGCTGTTTCTCCCTCAGACCAAGAAAGACTATATCTACGTTCCCTATAAAAGGATACTCTCCCCAACAGCTCTGAGCTGATGTCTGCTGAGGCCACGCCCTTTCTCCGCTCCACCAGCATGTGCGTGTGCATGTGGAGCAGCTCCCTTCTGGCTGTTTTGTGTGTGTGCTGACTCCAGAGCCAGAACCCCAATTCGATGTCTCTGCATGCTTATTGTGCAGAATACCCTGAACAATCCTTCACCAAAAGCTAGTGACCTGGAGAGAGTGCTGCAGTCCCAGTTCTGGCCCGGTTATGCCATCCCTGTGAATGCCAGGCAGAATCTCCAAATATGGCAGATTCTGCTGCTGCTGTGAGGATGTGCACCCTTGGGTGCTAGTGAGGAGTTAATGCAGAAACAAGGCACCACAGAGAGGTTGGAAATTTGGGTTGTGTGATTTAGGACCTGCTGGAAAAGTCCAAGGGCAGAGGGGAAGAAGGGGAGGAGGAGGAGAATGAGTCTTAAATAAGGTCTCAAGAGGCTAGAGACCCACTAGATGGGCTCTGGCTTGAGCTTTTCTGCTAGGAAGTCATTCACAAAGGCCTCCACAATGGCAGGGGTGATCTCCTCCACGTCCATCACATACTTGGCCCGGGCTGACATGTCCAGAATGGTGAGCAAAGGGGCAGCTTCAGGCAGGTTGGTGTAATCTCGCAGGGAGTCAGTCATGTCATCCTGGAAGTCACCAGAGGGGAGAGAAAACCAGTAAGTTTTAAAAAGAAGTCCTCTGGGCCCCGTCTCCCCAGACTGCATGGAATGGGACAATTCCATCATCCTGAAGAGCAGGCTCCCCTCAAGGAGAGATGGGTTCTTAGCATAGGCAGCAGGAGACCGTGCCCTGTTGTGGGGAGACCACTTCAAAAAATTCCCTCAGATCCCCCAAACCACCAAGCAAATCATCTTTATTAGCATGAAAGCAACTCTGGTTATATCTTCTGCTTTTTAAAAATGTGATGTCTTTTGGTTGCTTATTTTTGCAAGCAACTCTCAATTACTTGCTAACTCTACTGTGGCTTATCTGAGGCCATCTGAACTTCAATTCTGGAAAGTTTTTAAACAGAAACAACTCACTACCCCCCAACCCATGGTTTCAAAGAAGGCAGGAGGCACATAGCTGGCCAACTCTAAACATAGCTTCGCAAGCACCAAGGTTACGCTGCTTCACTGTATTTGTTTGAGAAGGACATGGATACTTTCTTGTGCATTCCCAGCAGCTGTGCGGGTGAACTTCCCTCATATCAGATACTGCCTGGTTCAAATATAAAGGCAAACACAAATCCAAAGACAAGAAAAAGGTTTTGTCAGGGAGCAACCATTTAAGGTTACCTTTCATGACACTGACCCCCATGAGGTAGATAACAGTCAATGGACTTTACATACCCATCCTGAAGTCATTTCCCTACAAAATGCACAATATTCTAAACCCAATGAAAAAGACAGACACTGTTATGGTTTGGATATGAGGTGTCCCCCAAAAGCTCATGTATGAGACAACGCAAGAAGGTTTAGAGGAGAAATTATTGGATCACGAGAGCCTTAACCCAATTAGTGAATTAATTCCCTGATGGGATTAACTGGGTGGTAACTGAAGGTGGGTAGGGTGCAGCTAGAGGAGGTGGGCATTGGGGGCATGACTATGGGGTGTATATATTGTATCCGGCAAGTGGAGTCTCTCTATGCTTCTTGATCACCATGTGAACCACTTCCCTCTGCCACACTCTTCCACCATGATGTTCTGCCTCACCTTAAGCCCCATGGAATGGAGCCTGCTCTCTATGGATTGAGACCTCTGAAACCATGAGCCCCCGAAAAAACTTTACATCCTAAAATTTTTCTTGTCGGATCTTTTTAGTTAAAGTATCAAAAAAACTGACTAAAACAAACATTTTACAGAAAAGGGGCTTGGATTATTCTTGGTCTTAGATGGAGGTGAGCAGGAAGCATAAAGTTTATGACTCACTGATTTCTTTTTTTAATATTTATTTTTTAGTTGTACTTGGATGCAATACCTTTATTTTATTTATTTTTATGTGGTGCTGAGGATCGAACCCAGGGCTTTGCACATGCTAGGCGAGCACTCTACCGCTGAGCCACAACCCCAGCCCATGACTCACTGATTTCTAAGACAAAAATAAAATTCATGTATCCATGGCAAATCTTTAGGTAGACTATTAGTGAGATGATCTTTCCTGCCCCCTAAAACACCATGCACTTCCCAGCAATGCTGTATGATTCAATTTCTCAAGCACACTTCCCCCAATTCGGGCCCTTAATGTGAGTTAGTAAAAAGTCTTCATGATAAATAAAGGGAGACACCTGGACAAATAATTTATGTCTCATTCCCATTAGGAGGCCGTCACAAGCGAAGCGTTCCACTGCTTGCCCTCCCTGGATCCCTCCAATCAAACCACATGGATGAATTTTAATGTCCACCAGGGTTTCAGAGGGGATAACTTTTGCCTGCCACAGGGATATGATTGAGACAGAGTTCTGGGCTCAGTCAATGCTGGATGTTCCATCTTCCTCTGCCTGGCCCCCTTCCTTCCATGCTGCCTTGCTTCTGAGCCTAAGGACAGAGAACTGGAACCTGGAAAGCCCAAAAGGCCAGAAGCCCACGTGAAATGCACAGGAAGAACATGCAGCCAGGTGGGGACAAAAGCAGCAGATGACACAGATGCCTCTGTCCAGTTTTCCGGTCCAGGGAGCCTCCTCCCTCGGGGCATGAGCAGGCCCATTTGTCAGAACACATGGACAGAAAGAGGAAGAGCACTGTTCTTGGAGTCACGGTAATCTCATTTCAGTTCCCTCCCTCTGCTACCTACTTCCTATGTGACCCTGGCAAGAACTTTCAGCCCAGGTCCTAGCCCCTGTCAAATGTATTTAACAAAATGGATTTGACAGAGGTTCCTAACACATGGAGCTTCTGTGAGGGTAAACCAAAGTCCAGCAACCCCAGCCCTGCTCAGAGAGAGCCCAGGGAGCAGTTTCAGGGCAGCCCTTCATCTGGCTGGAGCCTTACTTTCTTCCTCTGTGAGCCAGGACGATGATTATGTTCCCAGGCAGAGAGGTGAGGTACAAAGGAAACAAGCAGGTGAAGCACTTGGCCCAGTGCCTGGGTTTCCGCAAAGGCCCCTTTTCAGCCACTTTCTAAAGCCCCGCCCCACAGGGGCTCAGCCCTTTCTGTTCTGCACCCATCTTTTCTTTGGAGCCATTCTGTGGGGTTAGAGTTTAATAAATGCAGAGCAGCCTCGCTGGGCGCTTTGTGTGCAGCGCTAGTGAGCCCCAGGGCCTGTGAACCCTCTTTGTTCCTTTCCATCCCAGGGTTGGGCAGGGCAGGGCCACTTGAGCTGCCTGCGAGGGGCCCTCTAGGGCCTGCAGGGGCAGCTATTGAGGAAGTGATGAATGGGTGGCTCAGGGTGTCTGGCTGCTGCCTGTCTTCTCCAGCCTCTCCTGGGATCCAAACAGCGTGAAATGAGCGTGTGGGCTCCTACCAACTAGAGGTACAGATGGGTGAACGAAGGAGGCAGGGGTAGTCTAACCAAGTGTCAATGACTTTTTCAGGGGTCACCGGGGTGGGATGCCGTGAGCATGCGCAGAAGGGGATCCTGTGAGATAGACGCCTGCGCACCGCGCACGCGCACATGTCCATCTTACTGAACGCAGCGGCTAGCGGGTTGGAGGTTCCCTCCTCTCCAGGGCTCCTTTCTAACCCTGGGAAAAGTTCCCTGTTGGTCCAAACTGTGGGGGCCTTCAAGGGCCAGGCCTTGGTTGAAAGGGATTGGGGATGACAACAGTTTCCAAACTTGACCCTCTTCCTGGGCTGGCTGGTAACTAACTGTATTCCCAACTACGGCCAAAACCAGAATCCCAGTAAAGAGCTAAGCTCATTTTGCAGGCTGGTGCAGAGAACCTAAACCAATCCACACTTTATAAAGCACCCAGGGCATGGTTCTGACCAAGCACCACTGGAGAGAGGGTGGATCGTGAAAGTTTTTGGCGGCTGTTCTCCCCAGCAGCCTGTGTGGCAGCGGCCCTGAGAGGGCTTGGTACTGTTGCAAAAAGGAGGGGAAAAGGAAGCAGCAGGGGTAGGAAATGGTTTTCCATGTCTAATGACATGTCTTTTCTTCCACATTGGTCTGTGGCATAATCAGCTTGGTCCCTGAGGTCCCCTCAAACTTCCTAGAGGCCACTATTACTCACATCCTAAAAGTCTCCAGCTAAGAGAGCCAGGGCCATATCCTCTCTCCACACTTACCTCCCCAGCCACAAAGAATAGAAGTGGTGCCTCCTCCTCTTTGGCTTTGTACTTGGCGATGATCTTCTCAGCTATTGGCTGAATCAGTTGTTTGGCTGCTTCGGATTCTCCATCATCCTCAGAATCTGTGATGGGGGGGAAAAAGAAACAACAAACTCTGGCTTGTCACCTACCACCCCCAAAGGCCTGGGGAGCTAGAGAAACACCCATCTAAACAGCCTCTGAATGGAAAAGAACCTCCTCTTAGACATAAATATAACTTTCCGTGTGCATGAGTGGGCCTACACACATGCACACACGTATGCACGCACACACACACACACATGTACTAGCAGCAAAGCAGACTTGAACAGAGCTCTACCGCGCAGGGCTCACCAGGAACAACTAGCCTCACTGAGTGGCACAATGCCCCAGCCAGAAAATGCTTTTCACTGAATTCTTTTTTTTTTAAGCCTTTTTTTCCTTCTTATTTTTTATACCTTTATTTTATTAATTTATTTGTATGCGATGCTGAGGATCAAACCCAAGGTCTCTCGTGTACAAGGCGAGCGCTCTACCGCTGAGCCACAACCCCAGCTCCTTCACTGAATTCTTTAAAAGCTGGGTTTCCTCTAAGCCAGGACCTGAAGTATCTGGTAGTTTTCTTCTCAAAGAACCAGAAGCCATGACCTGAGACCTCCAGCTTCCCAGTGAAAATGGCAGAAGTGGTGGTCCAGTTGAGGTTGAGGACTGTGATTTCTTAGTGGTTTCATGGTGCTGGGGTGAGGATACCACAGCTGCTGTGATGCCACCTCCACAGCGAACAGCCAGACTCTCCTGGAAGGGGAAGACTGGCTACATGGGAGAACACAGACTGGAAGTGGCCATGTAGAGGGTCCCAGGGCTCAAGCTGCTGAAACCTGTAGCCAAGAGCAAAGGCAGCATCCCCAAGTGACAAAAGTAGGCTCCAGTGGTGGAGAGATTCCATTCATACATGCTATACCACATGATAAGTTTGTGGTGTGCAGAGAGAGCAGGACACACTCTGGATCTCCATTTAGTTTGCTTTGCCTCTCTATGACCCTTTCCACATTGCTGCAGATGGTCCTGAGGTTCCTAATTCTTCCTGGGTTCAGAATTGTTTTCTAACTGGCCACAGATGTTGTGTGTATGCCTGCAGCAGGCCCTTTTCCAAGGCCACCTCTCTCCAGGGGGGCACCATCCCCACAACTCAGACCCAGGCTACAAGTCAGTTGGCTTAAGAATTCCTTCAGGTCTGCTTATTGGCTTCCCTCCTGGGAGCCCCTAAACCAGACTTCAGAGAATTGGGAGGATGAGGAATATACTCCCTGACCCTTGGAAGCAGATATGGCACATCTCAGCCATGTCCTAATATGGCAGTTCATCTGAAGGGGAGCAACAAGTCCTTAGGCCGAGGGGAAGGTGGCTCTTGGCCAGCAGTTGCTTAGTTTGCAAAAGCGACCTGGGTCATCCCAAAAGGCTGCAGAGACCTCACGTGAATGTTTCTCTGCCTCTTGCCCAGGCTGAGCACAGCACCCAAATGAGAGTTGCAGTTGGCTACAGGGAAAAGAGAGAGCCAAGAACACTGCCCTGGGCTGGCTCTAACAGCCTCTGGCTGTTAGCAGTTCCTCAGAGCACAGAGGAACACAGAAGCAGGTGGGAGTGAGCCAGGCTCAAGGGGGCCCAGCCTCCTGCAGCTGCAGTGCAGACAGCCCCGCCTCTTTCTTAGGGGGTGGGAGTAGGGGCATCCTCCTGGCCTGACCTATTCTGCCCAGCTGGCAGCCCAAGCAGCTAGGGAGGAAAGCACAGCAGCCGGTCCTAGACCACCTCCCACAGGGGAAGAGCCATGAATAAATCATTGGGGTCAAAAGCAAGGCTGGTAGGGAGAGACAAAGGCCTGGGCTCAGCCTGGGGCAGCAAAGAGGCTTCAGGGACAGGCACCACCCCCAGTGAGATCCATTCTGGCCCATCTCCCTCTGTCCCGCCACTGAGCTCCATACCTACAAAAAGGACGAGGCAGGGCCCCTCGTTGAGCTGCACAGCGTTGGAGTCAGAGAGCTCCAGCACGGGTTTGGGGTGCCACGGAAACTCCCTGCAGTCCTCATCATTGAGCACCTCCACCCGTCCCTGCCGGGTGATCACCTCCCCCTGTGGGTCCAACACAATGAGCGTGGGGATGCCTGCAAGAGAGAGAGAGAGACAGGGTTCACACTAGCTTGGCCACTGGCCTGTGAGAGGAGGTGTGTCTGGAGACACAAGACAGTCTCAGAGTTAAGAATCTGGGTCCCCAAGCTGGAAAGCCTCAGGCCGAATCTGGGGTCAGCCACTAAATAGTTACAGAACTCCTGTGGTTCTGCCTGGAACCTCTCCATAAAACGCTGACAAGTCACTAGTCTGTCTGGGCCTCAGTGTCCTCAGCTGCAATGTGGTAAAGGTGTTGTAGTTCCTACCTTTTCTGGTTCCATCAAGAACATTTAAAGAATTAGGCACATGCCCTAGGGAGGAGCTCAGTGGTGGAGTGCTTCCCTGGCACACACAAGGCCCTGGGTTCAACCTCCAGCACCGCAAAACAGAGGCAAAAATATTAGTACAGGGTCTTGGCACATCAGAGCAGCTGATCATTGGTGGCATCCTAAAGTGATCCTAATGGCACAGGAGTCCTCCGCACGTGCAGGGAGTCTAAAGCTGACCAAGATGATGTAAGAACTCACACCCGCTCCCACATGGCACCCCTGCCATAGACGCACACGCGGCACTAAGCAACAGATGGAGCAGACTCCTCACATGGGAGGGGGTGGGGGGGATGGGGGGGTGGCGCACAACAGTGAGCAGGGGAGGAGCCTTTGGCCAAGGCTGTAGCCATACAAGTGAGGGAGGAAGAGAAGCCATACTGCCAGCCCTGGCCTTTTGTGGCCCCCACTCTCCAGTCCCAGCCCTGCTACCTGTGGAGGCTCTGATACATGGTCTGAGAGAGACAGTCCCCAGAGGGAGCAGGGCATGGAAGTCTTGGGCTGGAATAAGAAATGCATTGCAGGGGCTCTGGTTGTGGCTCAGTGGAACAGTGCTTGCCTAGCATGTAGGAGGCCCTGGGTTCGAGTCTCAGCACCACATATAAATAAATAAAGGTCCATTTACAACTAAAATAAATATATGTATATTTTTAAAAAATAAATGTATTGCAGTTCATCGGCAACCACCACCACCACCCCCCGCCCCCCCCCCAACACACACACAAAGCCTCAAGTGAACACTTAGAGAAAACCCATCCTGAGTTACGGTCACCTCTAAGTTTGCCACTACCCCCATTCTCCTCCAGCCGGGGCTACCCCCACCAACCACAGAGCCAGCCTTGGCCCTGTCCTTTGGGGACATGTGTCTCTCCATTGGCAGTTGGTCCCCTCTCCTTTGGAGCTATCCAGGTGCCTCTCCTCCACGGCAGACCAGAGCTTGAATTTTATATGAAAGCCAGAGCAATTTAATATTTATAGATTGCAAAGTATTTGGTCAGTAATTTGCTCCACTGACATTTTACTTCTCTATGGGGGGAACACCGAAGTACCAGAAATGTGGCCTTGGTGCTTTGTAACCTGCGGCGGCAGCCAGCCCAGCGGGCATGCAGCGCTGGGCCCATCTTCAAAAGGAATAAACGAAACCATTATGTTCGTAACTATTAGAAGAAGTGGCTGGGTGTGTTAGGGGAGAGGTCCAGAGAGAAACGGGCTCCTGAGGACTGCCATTCCCATCACATCACACACAGACAAACAGCGGCTCCTCAGGGACTTTGAAGATGCACTGGTGATGAAGAGGACTCCTGAGCATGAGTCCAGGCATTTCCAGCCTCATACTGTTAGCTGTGCTTTCCCCTCGAGGCTGGGCCCCATGTCAGGTGTGTCTTCATCCCTGGGGATCAGGACCTGGACTTGAGTCAGAGGCCTGAAGGGGGGCCCAGGGCTGTGGGCTACTTGGGGCTAGCCAGCTACAGATGAGTCTTCCACTTTGCCACACTGCAATCTCAAAAAAGCTTTGGCTTTTAATCAAGCTAGTGTGTTTCTGAAATCAGGCGGTTATAAGCACTGGGTCACACCAGAGCTATCCACGGCTATGATTAGACACAGCAGCTGGCCAGTTCGTAGCCTGCACTCAAGATGCAGAGCTGGTCTGCGGAGCACAGGCAGGCACAGAGAATGGAGAAAGAAGGAGAAAAGGGAAGATTGCTGGTCAAGCAGGCCAATTCCCGGGTCAGAGCCTCAGACTCTCTGAGGGACTATGGTAAGGGGCCTTCTTTGTTATCATAGCCGCAGTCTCTTGGGTCCACACCCATGAGGAACAAAAGCACAGAGCTCCAGCTGGTTCCACCAAGGGCCAGATCCTCTGGGCCTGGGTCTCCCCACCTCTTCCCCTTGGCTATGCACAAGCAAAATCCCCTCTTCATGTTGGTAATTAGAGCACGAAAGCCTGTGTCTAAAAACCCTAGACAATGAGGTACACAGGAACAAGACAGTGTCAGGCATGTGACTGCAGTACATAAACAGAAACTCAGTAAAATATCTATAGTCAGATTCTGACCCAGAGAAACCCCTGTGTTTGGCACATGGATGGGGAAAAGTCCACGCCCACTGTGCCTGGCTGGTCCCCTTCAACTGACCCCTGGTTTTGGCCCTATAGCCAGAAGAGTGTGCTTTCCTCTGATGCTGAATCAGAGGTCTAGAAAAGGGAACTCGCCTGTATGGATGTCTGCTCTATGCCAGGCAGGACACAGATGCTACCTCACTTAATCATCATAACAGGTGACTGCAGGGAGCATCACTATCCCTGCCTTATGGATAGTCAAGTGGCCTACCACTGTCACCCAGCTAATCAGTGGTCTTGCTGGGACAGGAACCCTGTCTGCCTGTTGCAAAAGCTGCAGTTCTCTGTCAGGCCACTGCCTTTGCTGAGGATTCTTCTAGCACCTGAATGGGGACTCTCCTAACTAGGACCAGGAAGAGCCCCTGTAGAAGCAGCTTCGCGTACCACCTTCTTCCCTCCTGTCTTCCTTCCAAAGCAGTAGGGAAAGAGGCTGAAATTGCTTCTCCATCATGCAGTCCCTGAAGTAGGTTCTCTAAAGTCAAGACTTCTCAAGAGGAAGTAAGACAACACCTCAACAGGAACTTACAAGGAATGGCAAACTTCTAATTGATGGCATTAAACAAAACATCTTCCATACCATCAAGGAGCTTCTTGCAAGGGAATGAAAAATGGACATTAGCTAGGGCTTGTTGTTCCCAGCCTGGATGGCTGGAATGTTGAGGGAAATGACAGTTGAGACTCTAAGCAAGATCAGGCAAGTCCTTTAATTTCTTTGAGCCTCATTTCCACAGCTATCAAATGCAGATAATGGCATAATTCTGTCTTAATTGTTGTGGGGAGGAATAAACAAGATTTAAATGTAAAAATATTTCTACCAGATTATCATGTATATAGTAAGTGCTCCATTAAGTATTGGCTATTACTGTAAATCAGTTCATTTTTTAAAACGCCATCTCTAAACTGATGATTTGAGAAGTGGAGGTGTAGAGGACTGGTGCCTTGTTCTACTGAAAGCAAAAAACCCTTAGGCTGGGCTGGGAAAGTTAGCTGAATAACAGAAGAGAGACAATGTCAATACTACAGCAAGAGTGCCAGGAATAGGATGTGAGAGCGATCTGGCTGCGACATCCGTCACCCCATTGATCACCAGGGTTGATTCGGCTGATCTGGCTGGCTAGGTGGGTGTCCCTTTCCTCCCTCACCACTCCATGTGCGTCCCTCCCAAAGCTGTGTACTCAGTCGAAGAGGACGACCTTCCCCTATAGAGGAGGACCGTTCTTCGGTCAAGGGTATATGAGTAGCTGCGCTCCCCTGCTAGAACCTCCAAACAAGCTCTCAAGAGTCCCAGGAACAGTGATGCCTGTCATGCATGGGGTTGGTGCTCTTTTATTTGTGTCAACTCAAACTTAAGTTTCAGGCTTAGAACAAACAGATTATCTTCCTAGAGAGGGCTCAGGTCCAAGCTCCTAGCCTTAGGGAGCTGGGCTGGACCTCAAGCGGTTCCTAAGGAGCCTTCCCATTATCTCCCTCAAATCACAGAGAAGCCTGTAATCCCAGTACTTGGGAAGCTGTGGCAGGAGGATGGCAAGTTTAAGGCCAGCCTCAGCAACTTCATGAGATCCTGTCTCAAAAAATATAAAGGGCTGGGGATGAAGATCAGTGGTAGAACACCTCAGTGTTCAATCCTCAGTACAACCAGGTGCGTGTGGGGGGAGAAACACAAAGAAGGAACAATGAGGCCTATGAAACCAGCTCATTCATTCCTCATGGGAGGAGCCTATTTGTGACTATTTAGAACAATCTTGAAGCTAAGTGTACTGAGACTATTTTTCTATTGCTAAAGAGATAGAGTTTGTGGAGGTGACGGGGCAAAAAAATTGAAATCATCCGGAACCTTGGGGAGAGGGAGAAAGACACACAGGATTGCAACCCAGGTTTCTTTGCATCTGGATGGCAGCATGACCTGAGGGTACTTGGAATAATTCCCCCAAGATTTCTTGGGGTTCGGAGGAGAAATCAACAGAAAAGCATATGCTAAGACAGGAAGCATGGGTTAGGGCACATGGCAGGGAAAAATACTATGTGATCATGAAAACAGTCATTATAAAGACTGTAGCAACATGGAAATGGTTTGTAACATATTGTAAGGAAAACATGCTACCTGTACATTACAATTGCAAATAAGTACCTGTGTGTACTGACAGAGACCAAAAGAACTCAGAAAAGTGGAAACAGTTATGCTAGCAAGGCAGAAGAGTGGGCCAGATGAGCTGTATATATATTTGGGTTTTCTTTTTTGTTTTGTCATACTGGGGATCAAAACCAGGGCCTGGCACACACAAGGCAAGCTTAGGTTTTCTTATATGGTATCATGATGCATGGATTAACATAGAATGAAAAATCAGAACTGAAGGGCAGCAGGGTTGGATAAGAATGAAATACAAGCCCATGACTTAGCCATATCATTGACAGTTGTTTGCCAGATCCTTTTTCCTCTCCTCTTACTGGTTCCCCCAAACTTTCCCTTATTTAGAGAGCTAAGGAGGGGAAGAAAGCAGCTGGTTTGGGCGAAACTCAGAGAAACCCACAAGAGGTTCCAGGGATGGTTCTG